TTCTGCTGGGGAAGGGGTTAAGAGGTTTTATTCCCTCCCTAACTTCAGGGGAAAATCCCTACCTGGGGAAACAACCTTTCTCGGAGAGGTGACCTTGGTTAGATCACAGCGCCAAGGTGAGCAAACATATTAAGAACAGTATGCCATATATGCCAGGTCCCTTGAAACAGCAAGGATGGACCGGCTTCCGGCACATTACTTCCTAAAACTCTACGTAATCTGTTCCTCGCCTGCCTCTCCTTTCCTGTATGTTTATCTACACTGTCATTTCTTGACCCATAGACTAAGTTAGGCTCCCCATTAATAGCTTCTCATAGTATTCCTGTGTATCACAATATTTATAAAAAAGCTTATTGTATAATTATTAAATATCTTTCTGGCCTAGAATTGAGTCAGTGATTATTATTGACTCATCATTTGTATACAGAGCCTTTTCAATATTCAAAAAACCTTTTGAATAAATGACTGAATAAAGGGTAGGTATTCCTCATTTTGTAGATGAGGAAACTGATTTTAAAAGTTTATAATAAGTGTTGATAAGAACGTAGAGAATTGTAACCCTCATATATTGCTAGTGGGAATGTTAAATGGTGCAACCACTATGGAAAAGGTTGGCATTCCTCCAGAGGTTAAACATAGAGTTACCATATGTCCCAGCAGTTCTGCTCTTAGAGAATTGAAAACAATCCATTCACACAAAAATTTGTACATGGATGTTCATAATAGCCAAAAAGTAAAAACAACCCAAATGTCCATCAACTAATGAATGGGCAAACAAATGTGTAATATCCATGCAGTGGAATACTATTCAGCCATAAAAAGGAATGAAGTACTGATACATGCTACAAAATGGATGAACCTTGTAAACATTATGCTGTATGAAAGAAGCTAGATACAAAAGGCTACATATTTATATGATTTCCATTTAGATGAAATTTCCAGAACAGGCAAATCCACAGAAGCAGTAAGTACATTAGTGATTGCTAGAAAGGAAGAAGAGGGCTGGAAAGGGCATAAAAGGGAGTGACTGCTAACAGCTGTAGAATTTCTTTTTGAGAAGATGGAATATTCTGGAATTAGTTGGTGTTGATGGGTTACACAACATTAGAATATACTAAAAACCACTGATTTGTACATTTTAACATTGAAAATTTTATATTATGTGAATTTTATAGCAATACAAAAATTACAAGAAAAAAGGAGTTAAATAACTTGTATAAACTGATAGATACTTGGTCAGACCCAAGATACGAACCCTTTCTGGAAGCCAAGGCCCGTTTTGCTGCCGCCTGTGGTGACCTGTAGTTACTGCAGTTACCACCAGGTGGTGGTATTGTTGAATAGAATCATGTCCAGGGGAAAATCTGTGGCTCTGCCCTGAATTGCTTTGTCATAAAAGACAAAATTAGGGCTGAAAAAAAAAAAAAAAAAGGTATCTGTCCTTCTTAAGACCTCACAACTACTTCACAGGGATTTACAGGGATCAGAGGAACGTGTTAAATGGCATCATGGAGATACAATCAGTAAAATCCAGACTGGAAATCTAGGATAAATGATCCAATTTTTCCAACAAATTTCAAAGAAAAACACAAGGGGAGGCAGAACCTTTTTTTTTTTTAAACATATTTTTTATTGATTTCAGAGAGGAAGGGAGAGGGAGCGAGAGAGAGAAACATGAGAGATAGAAACATCAATGATGAAATTCCCAGAACATCATTGATCGGCTACTTCCTGCACGCCCCCCAGTGGGGATCGAGCCTGCAACCCGGGCATGTGCCATGACTGGGAAGGAGCCGTGACCTCCTGGTTCATAAGTCTACACTCAACCACTGAGCCAAGCCAGTTGGGCAAGGGGAATATTAAGAAACTATTTTTAATTTTGCAAGATATTGGTGACATTGTGGTTATATATTTTTTTAAGGGTCCTTTTTGAAATACATACTGAAATATTTACAATTGAAGTGATAAGAAATTTAGCATATGCTTAAAAATGAGTTAATATTTTAAAAGGTGGTAAACAGGAATAACCTGAAATTTGTGAACATATACCAGTACATTCATTCGTTCAACAAACATCCTTTGTACACTTTCTTTATTTGAGGCATGTGATTCAACTAGACAATGTTTTCAGAGCAGTAAGTGAACTATTGAAAGGAGTGATGGTATAAATGACTGCCCTAACTGATGAGGGGAGCAGTAGTGAAGGAGTGGCGAGTGAATTATAGCAAGTTAAGTAGTGAAGGAATGGTGAGAGTGAATTATACTCAGTTAAGCAGTGAAGGAGTGGTGAGAATGAACTATAGTTAAGTAGTGAAGGAATGGTGAGAGTGAATTAGTTAAGAGATTCAAGGTTCTTTTTTTAATCCTCACTTGATATTTTTCCATTGATTTTTAGATAGAGTGGAAGGGAGAAAAAAGGAAGGGGGAAAGAGAGAGAGAGAGAGAGAGAGAGAGAGAGAGAGAGAAAGAAAGAGAGAGAGAGAGACCTCCCTCGTGTGTTCTGAAGGGGTCAGGGATTGGTCCAGCAATTAAGGTATGTGTCCTTTGGTCTCCTGGCCAAATCTTTAACCACTGAGAAAACCAGCCAGGGTGAGAGTCAAGTTTTTTTAAACCAAACTTTTATTTATAATATCACACCCATAAATAAAAATGCACAAATAATAATTGTGTAGCATAAAAACTTTTTACAAAGTGAATGCCCTTGTACAGCCAGAACCCAGCAGAGTTGAATTTTGAATAAAATACTGCTTAAAGTATTGGATATACCAGTAGCTTAGAGCAAATATGGAGATCGTAAGCAAAGAAGGAATTAAAATGCAAGAGAAACATCCTCTTAAAATTCCAGGCCAAAAAATGCCCTGGAGACAGGAAACTTGAAAAACCATCTGCTTGTGGATCTGCTCGCGTCTTAGGGCAACTTGATGAGCAGAATATGGAATGTTTTTATTGTATGTATATGTATTTTATGCTAAAAGTGAGAACTTGTGCTATTTGTAACTGAGGAACAAGTGTTTATTTAAATTAATTAAGTCAACTTTTATTAACAGGTTTTTAGAATTTTATTGCCTCTTTTATTGACTTTTAGGATTTATATATTTGATTTTCTCAAGGTCATTGTCAGAGTAGGAGTGGCAGTCTTTTAAGAGGCACAGGTTCACTCAATATTTAAAAATCACCTATTTGGAAGAATTTCTTAAGTTAATACTTATCTTTTAACAGACTGCAGTCTATGTTATATTTAGTGTATTTGTTATAGCCATTACTGAGGGGGATACTCTATAAAGTACTTGCTTTATATCCCTTTTTACTGATGAGGAAACAAGCACAGATAGGCTACGTAACTTGTCTGTGGTCATTACACTCAGTCACTTAGTGGCAGAGCAGCTAATTAGGCCAACGCTGACCGGCTTCAGAGCATTTATCTAATAGGGTTTTTGTGAAGATTCTTTTTTTTTTTTTTTTACATTTCACATGAATTTATTTGTATATTTTCTTTTTTTTAATATATTTTTTTGATTTTTTACAGAGAGGAAGGGAGAGGGATAGAGAACCAGAAACATCGATGAGAGAGAAACATTGATCAGCTGCCTCCTGCACAC